CCTGCATTTGTGTAATTTCCATATGCAAATCGCCTTTGATACACAGCAGGGCTTTGGAAGCCACCATAGCGAGGTTGTTCTTGACAGATACTTGAACTCAGATGTAGCTGGTTGGCTACCTGCTTAACAATAGTTGAATGCTGGTATTGCTCTGCCATTGCGACTAACTAGAAAAAAAACTCCTGCAGATTCACAAAAAAATTGTGGTCAGTTCTTACTAGAAAAAAATTAACCATGATCAGATCATCTTGAGGAATGCCAATCCTGCAACTTATTGCTAGTAACAATTTTTACTAGTTTGACAAGGGTCATCTAACAAAAATCTCAAGAAGTCTTCAGGTTACATAAGAGAGTCATTCAGTTGCAAGTTGAATATCACTTTTAACATCAATTGTAAACTAAATCATGCAAAAGGAACAAATTTTAATAATCTTTGCATAATGCACAAAAGAATTGTCCGATTGGGGAATTAATGGGAACAAAAAATCTAGCATTAGAACCAGAAAGCATTGTGATCAAGAAAAGAGTTATAATTGCATAATCAACGGCATTGACAATAAGATATAATCTTGAATAGTGAGCAATACTTAGTGTCAAGAGACCAAGTTCAGTCCCTGAAACAATGATGAACAAACCCCGTCTAGGTTATATGATTAAAGTGCAGTAGATCTTCCCATTGCTTATGTTCCTTAAAGATGAATGAAAAAATAGGGCCCCGTTTGATAAACATTAATGTAAAAATGAGAATGAAAAATACAGTTACAGGAAGCACGCAAGAGATAAAAATTCAAATTTGATGGCTTGATGTGATGGATAACGATCATATTTTTCATTTTAATGAGGAAAGAATAGCAAACAAACGGGGACTAAATCTAAAAATTACTGAAACTTATATAACCCGGAACTGCAGTAATATTGAGGATACAAGACCAAAAAGTAGATCGTGGAGTGCATGATGGATATTGCCTAATAGAAAGGGAAGTAGCCTCTACAAACCGCAAAATTATCTATCAGCCAACGGAAAATCAATATCTATGTGCAAAAAAGGTCCAAATTACGGGCAAACACGTTGATTTCGACCAGATCTGCAATATACTGAACGTTGTCATTTGGAATACTACCAAAATTCATAATTTTGTTCCAAAAATGCATGAAACAAGATAAAATTCGCCATATAACACAACGTGTAGATACTCAAACACTAGTGGAAACATCAGATCTACAAAAAGAACTGTAAGTAGAAAAGTGCATTCAGATCTACAAAAATGTAAAAGAAAACAAACCTTAAAAATAAAAACTTTTCTATATTTCATTCACAGATCTAAAAGTATAAGATGCTTCAGTGGACAAATACATATATAAACAAAAATCACAGTACCCAAGAAGATGAATCAAATGGATTAAAATTGAAACAGGAATGGAACGGTTATAAAACTACCGAAATTCAATCTGAAGCCTCGGGGCAAAATAATTGGATTGAGCGATGAACATTGAAATTACCTGCGTTCGAATCGCCTCCGAAATCGGGAAGAGAGGAGAGAAGAACGAGGAGAAATGTATTGGTGCAGAGAATTTGAACGAGAGGCCAATTGCGGAGGCTGGACACAACAATATATGGTGGCTCGCCATAACCTAGCTGTACATATTTTTCCTTGGGGCAACTTACACAAATGCCCTAAATTTTGGGGTGGTTTTGAAAACTCAAGACAAAATTGGACTAAACGGCAAATTATTTTTGTATGTATTTATGCTCAAACATAAACAGCAGCTTCCAAAATTTCAACACCATCGTCTGTCAAGCTCGAGTAATCAAGGAAAATCGAAAGAAAAAAGAATGAAAATGTGACATTCTATCAAAAAAGTTACGGTATCTAATTGAAACAATTAACAAATATATATATATTTTTGAAAATTTAAATAGATGAATTCAAATCTTGTTTCTTACATTCAATTTATATTTTTTAATCAATTCAATTGATGCATCCAATATATTTGCAAGAATGAGAATATGAAAATGTGACATTCTGTACTTTTCTCTAAAATAATCGCAATGCTTTTTTGTAGAATTAAATAGACGTATCTGTATATATTTTTGAAAATTTAAATATATAAATTCAAACATTGTTTTAATCTTGCATTCAATTTATATTTATTTAAATCAATTCAATTCAATTCAATTGATGCATTAAAGGTATTTGCGAGAATGAAAATTTGAAAAAGACACATTTTACCACTTTTCTATGAAAAAGTAGCAGTGCCTCATTGACAATTAACTAAATGTATACATATATGTTTTTGGAAATTTAAATACGCAAATTCGAACCATTTAATCAAATTCTCATATAGTGCTTTAAGTGATTACAAATGAAATATTTTTGTAATTAATAACTTTTCTACTGTTGTCAAATTTTATTATCAACACAGTGGAGTAAGTCCACATATTCGGTCACACAAGTTATGGATCTACTTGCAATTCATTAAACAATTAATATAGTAGATCGATGAAATTCAATGTTAGTTAATAAACTAAAGGTCCGTTTGATTGTAAGAATAAAATTTTGGGTGGAAAGAAAACGAATTTCAGGGAATTGAATTACGTAGAACTTGTTTTACTGAAAATTGTCAATTAAATGTGCGTAATTAAATGATTTCAAGAAGTTGACATATTAAGTGGGAAAAATTGAATAAGGGTATATTGGTGAAGGAATAAAACAAAATATTCTAAATTAAGAAACATGCCAATATATTTGGGACAAGAGAAAAAGAAACTCAGCTTATATAATTGGGACGGAGAGAGTAAACAAAAAGGAAAAAATTGCAATCGTAGTCTCAAAAAACGAACGCCAGCTTTAAAAACAACTCTTTTAAAAACAATAAGGTTCTACAAGTAAAAGATCTATTGAAAAAAATTCTACCCGGGGTTTTATTGTTCTTTTAATTTCGATTAGGGACACTTAAAAAGGTTCGAGGTCAATTATTGAAAAATCTTAAGGGGGCAATGTGAAAGAAATAAGAGGATTTTGGGCGGTTGCGCTGTTTTCTCTATTTGGAAGGTGTGGAAATGAAAAGGTCAATTCTTTACCATTCAAATTGGAACACAAATAGAGCCTTCTTTATGTAGGTCAAAGTTTGACTAAGTAAAGGTGTCTTTTGGGAGATGCATAATGCATTTCTCATGCCCTTTTCCCATTTGTTTTTTCCATATAGATCTGCGGTGGGTGTTGAGAGTCAGGAGAGAGCATTAGAAAAAGAAAAAGTGACACTGAACGTGTGGTGTGGGTTGAGAGTGGACGACTTATTGATAGTTTGGCTTAAATTATAAGTAACTCGTAGAGAAGAAACTTTATTCCTCGTGGGCAAGAATCGGTTTTGATTCGATTCCAAAAATTACATGGAATCAAATGGTTTTATTCATAATATATTTGAAGTTTAATGGATGATTTTGATTTTTGAAATACTCGAATTTGACCACCAAATGTTAGGAGTGACAATGAATCGAACTTGGCTCGTATCCGCAAATAAAGCTCAAATAATAGAGAATTTATATACGTTACGAGAAGATAGCATGCTTGTGTCATTTAAAATATTCCTGCTGCAAGTGGATCACAAATCCCAAAGAGGAAAAATAATATATATATTTTTTAATGATTGTCTAATTTGTTTTTAAAATTTTTAAATACTCAGAATCAATTGTTTTGATTTGATTTAAAATAAAAGTATAAAAGAGTTAATCAGTCGATGTAAATTCAAATCACCCAAAATTCAGAGTCCGTTTGGTCTGCGTTTTTGTTTTCAATTTTAAATTTATTTTCTATTTTTTATTTTGAGCGATTATTTTAAAATTGTGAAAAACGCATTTGATTTCTTATTCTAAAAAACTATCTCTTAAAGCAAAAAATTATAAGATGCGTTCGGTTTTAAAATTTAAAAACAGATTATGACCTTTTTCAATTAATTTGATTATTTAGTAAAACATGTCAATTTGATGCTATCATGTGATCAAAAAATATAAATTTTAAAGTTGGTAAAAAAAATGAATCATTGTAAATATATCTCTAACAATCGCTTCGAAATCACACATAACAAATCATTATCACTCGTAATTTGAGAAAATTTTAAGGTCATTTTCCTTATTTTGAGTGTTTCATTGAAACAGCTTAAAACATTAAAAAGTCATTTTTAGTTTTATGTTGTAAAATTTTCTTTGTTTTTGAAAACATGTTTTTAAAAATAACATACCAAACACATTTTGTGTGTTTTAGAAAAAAATGAAAAATGGTCGCGAAATGACAAACCAAATGCACTCTCAATTTCTTCTATTCAACTCAACAATTCGACATTTTTTCCATACACAGTGAAGTGTAAAATATGATTAAAGCCCTACTAGGTTACTACCTAATTAATGCATTGTTTGATCCACATTATTTGAAAAATATATATATTCTTAAATAGTGATTTTACATCATTTTAACCCCACATTCTTCAATAGAATAATATTATATGCAAATTCAAAATTCTTCCTTATTTTTCAGCCATACATTTTCTATCAATACACTATTCAAAAATGTATTTTTATGAAAATAATATGGCTCAAACAAGGGCTGAACTCCATCAAGGTTTATTAAGAATAAAATTTTGTAAATGTGATTTTTAGATATTATGGGGGGTTGAAGAGTAAAAATAAAAAATCGAATTTGTGTAAAAATGAAAATTTCCTAATCACAATAGTTTAATAATAC